ACTACTGCTGTCACTGCTCTTACTACCATTACTGTGACTACTGCTATTGCTAGCAGCATTACCTGCTCTTTCCTCTATCTGAAGTACTCTTCAATTTCTTTTCCACCATCTGGACCCTTTCAGAGTTCTGTCCCTCCTTAAAGGCCCACCCAAAATATCATCCTTCTAAGAAGTCATCTAAGAGTTTCCTCAAGCAGGTGTGATATTAAACAATCTATCTCTATGCTCCTATTAAGCAAGCTGAGATTATAGAATATAATATAATTTGTATTATATACTGTTGTCCTTAAAATTTTACTCAAAGAGATGATCTTCTGATGCCAAATGAAAACTTGGGAAGACTTGGTGACTTTATAGCTCTTCCCAAGTAATGTCATTTTTAAATCACAAACCTGGTTTCAGTTTGGAAATTAGAATGTCCAGTCTGAGAAATTCAAAATACCAAACTTGATTTAATGGCTTCTGTGTGCTGGCAGATCACAGAGGGAAATGGAGCCCAGGCCTTCTACACATGTGTCACACTTGATATTTATCCTTTTCTCCCAGTTCTCCAAATGCATTTACTGATCCCTGAATAAAGATTAGGGGAAAGGGATACAGTCTCACATAGGGGTTCAACTTTCCTCTAATATTGAATGCAGCTAGATAGAAGAATCTAATTTTCTCTGTTTGTGCAAATTTGAAATATTTATTATTAGATATCTCAAATTTTTGCTGCTACTAAACATGGTTCTATTTTTTAAATTCTATTTTCTATTCTTGTACAATATTTCTGCTCTATAATACATAGCACCAGTCAATAAATAATATGACAGCTTCAGTCAAGAGATGTCTGTTCATGCCTAAACATAAAACCATAAATAATTTTAATCACTGTATATGTATTTACATGTATGTGTCAAAATTTATTACATGTATTAATATATTCCCAATTTCTCTTATAAATATCAGTTTATATCATTGAATATTCAGATTTTCATATTTTTGTGGTAATATCCACAGAATAAAATTCCCAAATTTGAATTGCTTAATCAAAATATATGTATATTCTAAATTATTTTATTTATCAATAAATTAATCTGAATGAATTGACTACCAATCTGCCTGCCTTTCAGAAAGGTAACACTTATGTTCCATTTACCGTGGGTTTTTCCCTCCACATTTACACTTAGTTTATAAAATTTTAAGTCTTTTCCTATTCGACGTGAAGAAATGTACTTGATAAGAGAAGATAAAAGATGTCTTTTTTTCTAGCTTTTCATTCACTTGTGCATGCTAAGTCACTTTGTTGTGTCTGACTCTTTGCAACCCTGTGGTCTGTGGCCTGCCAGGCTTCTCTTTCCATGGGACTCTCCAGGCAAGAAGACTGGAAGGGGTTGCCATTTCCTTCTCCAGGGGATCTTCCCAACCCAGGGATCGAACCTGTATCACTTATATCTCCTGCATAGGCAGGCAGTTTCTTCCACTTGCACCACCTGGGAAGCCCTCATTCATTTACTAGTCATATATAAATCTAACATTTTGTATTGCCTGTTTATCTCTTTTCACTGGAATTTTTTCCTTATTAATTTGTAAAATATAGTTGCATACCAACTGTTTTACTCTTATTCCTAGAACACATATTGTAATTTTCTTCTCAGTTGGTCATATCTTTTTCAAATTTGCTTAAATATTGCTCTTTTTCACATAAATGGTTTTATTTAGAATTGGGTAAACATCATAGTTCATTTTATATCATGGCTTTGGCACTACAAGGCATAAAAAAACCATCAACTATATTTTTCTTTGTTATTTTGACTATGATTTAACTATGTATGTTACAAGAAAAGATTGTTGGGTGAAAAAATAATCCATAAATATACTTGACACTGGTTCTAGTGCATAAAATAAAATAACCCTCAGTGTGAAGTTCAGGGTGATTCTAGAAAAATTGAACACTTAAAAAAATTTGTTAATTACTAGATTACAGTTGTACATAGTCAAAATAAACTGGAAAAGAAATTGTTAGAGTTATTTCTGTAATTGTTCAATGTGAAACATATTGCATTACTTTTGATCTGCCTTTTATTTGCATCTAAAATTCAGTCATGTTTACTCCCAATCCCTTGACAACAGAAGGTTGAGAAAGTCAATCATTTGCTTAATAAAACCATTCTTATTGAACTGAACTCCATCAACATCACACAGTCAAGGGAAGCAAACCAATCCTTATGAGGTTTCAAACCTGCTTATCACCCATATCTAAACCAGATTGATTGATGGCTTGGGTACCACATCTTTAGAGGCAGGGACCATATGAATCCTCAGGCCAATTACTTTAATATCAGTGCTCTGCTCCTGAGTAAGACTTCTGTGTGATAGACAAGGAATTGATACTACAGTCATTCCATTATGAGTAACAACCTGAGCAGGAAGATAAGAGTCATACTCAGGCAGCATAGGGCCAGACTTTTACACAGTGATGTATCCTGTGTCTGCACAGGATACATATGACTGCATGCTCCAGGCCTTATGCTGATGGACATATGAGAAAACTATTTGGAAACTCTAAAGTCCTATGCAAATGTTGGCTTCATACATGACAAGAATATCTATTGATTGCCCCAGCATGCGTCTAAGGAGGTAATTAAGGAAAATGATGTTGATGATAACTATGATGATAGTTTTGGTATGTATGAAATATTCAAGGCAAAGTTCTATGAGCTTTTTGATTCTCCTAAGAAACTCATGAGGTAGAAGCTATTAAAATCACTAAATTGATAAGGAAACAAAGGCAGAGAAACTAAACAATTTGCCCTAAGTTGTTATATCTAAATAGTAAGTGTTGGATCTAGAATTCATGCTCAGGAAGTCTGGTTCCAGAGACATAAAACTAACTTCTGAGTAATTTTTCCAAGCTTGAGTTGATTTTAAGAGGTAAATCTATTTTGAAATGTGAGCTCCATAAAACACACACCAAATACACACACCGCACTTAGAAAACAAGTGCAGACATAGACACACAGGTGTACACGTACATTCACTCCCAATAGCAAAGTGAAAACCTTGGAGACATCAGTGTTTTTCCATGCAAATGAGAAGGTCTGGAGCTAATGAATTATGGTCATAGAAGGAAAAACAGGAAAGTTTGGAGGACCAAGCTCCAAGAAAGAGGCTGAAAGGCAGGTACCACTAAGGATAATAAGGTGGCAGATGATGGGAGGAATTCAATCCCATTTCTATTGACCATATTTTTAGCTGGGAGTGACTTTTCTGAGCCCCATTGAGAGAGGCAGGAAGGAGCTACCAGTCATCACTTGTCACAGGAGACATACAGCTGGCAGGAGGCGGTCCTCAAATGCCCAGGTCATGTCTCACACCTGAGGGAAGAGCCCAAGGCCAGGATAAAAGGCCTTAGGGATAGAGCACCTCCATCCACTTCTCTCCTGCGGTGTTGACAGACCCCGCGCTGCTTCGACACTGGTAAGTGTCCACTGGGACCCAGACCAGGACCTTCCACAGAGGATGTTCAGACTAGAGGGGAGGGCAGGGGGCAGGGCCTTGGGGCTGGCAAGGATGAGGGTGGATCCCGAGAGGGAGCAAAAATCTAGAAACCTGATGAAGGATGAACTGTGAGGCAGGAGATGGCATTTGTGGGTCTATGCTCTGTGCTCTAAGTTAGTTCTGTATCTTTTTGAGTTTCTCAGGTTTTAGATAAGTCAAAACTTTCATAAGGAACTATTACCTTGGAGAAGCCAGCTGTGTTCCTGCTCCAAAGCCTCTACTAGGGTCAGAGTGATTTTTCAAACAATGGAGACCAGAGGCAGCATATTTGGGGTCAGATGAAAACAGAGATCCAAGGGCCTCACCCTCACCAAGTGTCACTTACTTGGTCAGGACCGCTGCCTGGCATCCGTACCAGAAGCTCCTGAGTTGAATAATGATTAACAAGTTGAAATTTAACTGCTAAGATGTAAAAATTGGAAGAGGTTGTGTGTTGTAAAGGGTGCATAACCAAGCCTAGTTTCACTTAGACCAGAAAACCTAGTTTCACATCCAACTTGCCTTGATAAGGTCTGGGGCTCACTTCTCTCTAAAATGATTTAGTAACTCCATTTTATATATGTATATAGAGAGATATACATATATACTTGCATATAGCACACAAGCATGCATGCTATGTGTGCTAATCACTTTAGTCATGTCTGACTCTTTGCCACCCTATAGACTTGAGGAACTATAGAGACTATAGAGGAATCACTAGGTTCCTCTGTCCATGGGATTTTCCAGACAAGAATACTGGAGTGGTTTACCATTTTCCTCTTCCAGGGGATCTTCCCTGCCCAGGGATCAAACCTGCTTCTCTTAATGTCCCCTGAATCGGTAGGGGGTTTCTTTACCACTAGGGTCACCTGGAAAGCCAAGCATATATATAGATAAATACAGATATAGATAGATAATATATAAACAGAGTTGCAAAGGGCCAACATATGGACTGGTTAACCCAAATACATATGCAGAATTATGAAATTATATATGATATATGAGCTGATAATAATACGTGTCTCTGGAAAGCTATCTGGGAAGTTCCTCCAGAAGGGAATCTCTAGTTCTTCCTTAGCAGAGAGTACTGATGCTCTAAACTGTCTCCTAGACTGGACATTATCAGAATTCTGAGTGGTGTAGAGTGAGTTTGAGTCAGACTTTGTGAAGGTCAATTTTGCCTTCTCCAAAGAAAGGACCTTGTCTTTGGGCAAGTTTGTCAATTTAGTTAGTTGATTTCTATGCCTTGCTTTGTTGAAAGAAGACAACCTATGTCTGTTTTGTGAAAAGCTCCCAAATTTCAAATGAGATAGTGAAAAGCACTTGAAAAACTATAGATAATTTCTCCACGAGTTACTTGACCAGGCTTTTAGAATGTGGGGGAAAGACAAGATGGTGAAATTCCGTAAGGGAGGTCTCTGTGTGCTGGTCTGACCTGCTGTCTGTCTCTCCCTCAGCTCCTGAACCCGCCCACCAAGATGTCCTGCCAGCAGAACCAACAGCAGTGCCAGCCTCCTCCCAAGTGTGCCCCCAAGTGCCCCACCCCTAAATGCCCCCCAAAGTGCCCCCCAGTCTCCTCCTGCTGTGGCCCCAGCTCCGGGGGCTGCTGCAGCTCTGGGGCTGGGGGCTGCTGCCTGAGCCACCACAGGCGCCGCAGGTCCCACCACTGCAGACCCCAGAGATCTGACTGCTGCAGCCAGCCCTCGGGGGGCTCCGGGTGCTGTGGAGGGGGGAGTGGTCAGTCCTCTGGAGGCGGCTGCTGCTGAAGTGGACCCTGAGCCAAGAAGAGCTGACCTGGGGACAACAGATGGACAAACACTTCCTCCTCCTCCTGCTGAGATTTCCTGAGAGGTCCCAGATGAGGTTCTGAACTCTGGGCTGGAGTGACTCTCTGTCCTGGGATTCAGAAACCTGAGTCTGCTCCTGAGAATCTGTCTGCTGACCTCTGACACCAATTGGGATGTCTGCCCTGGAATCCCCAAACCACAGACTCTAACTCACTCCCCAGATAATCTCCTTGCATCTGCAGCCTCAAATGAAACAATAAAACAAGAAATCTGCTCACCATTTTGTTCTGGACTCTTCCTTGCCTGCTTGTGCCCCAGTATTCTTTCCACTGTCATTCATTCTCTTGATGCCTGAGACCCTGGGAATCAAATATGTGCTGGATGATACGGTTGAGAAAGGGAGGAGAGAAAAATGGCCCTGCCTCTTACTTGTGCCTGCTCAGTCGCTTCCATTGAGTCTGGCTCTTTGTGACCCGATGGACTCTAGCCCACCAGGCTCCTCTGTCCATGGGGTTCTCCAGACAAGAATACTGGAGTGGGTTGCCGGTGCCCTCCTCCAAGGGATCTGCCTGACCGAGGGATCGAACCTGCATCTCCTACATTGCAGGAGGATTCTTTATGGCTGAGACACCAGAGAAGCCTGCCTCTTACTTTGACACCATTTCTCAGATGAATTCCATGCAGCTCTGCTTAAGTACAATGTCCTAATGTCTCTCATGAAGATGAAGACTTGGACTGTAGGTTTTGTTCTGGGTCCAATGGTCCCTGGAGCAAGACAGACTTGACAGATATGCATTCCATCCCTTCATTGGTCTTCTCTTCCTCCTATCCTTTGTGATACTACCCCAACTCACCCCCAACTTTCTTTTCTCCTTTAACCAAAACATTTGTTTAGAAAGTTAAATATGAACTTTCTGCAAATAAACCAGGAATCTTAGCTAATTCTAACTAGGAACGTGCATATAGTGTGCAGCAAAGATCCCAAAATTTAAAATACCTATAAGAGGATTCAGGGACTTTTTCAAAAGCACTCAAGTCTCCCTTTTCTCTCCTTGAGTCCCAATTTTTCAGGTCAAATATTCCAACTCTAAACTTTGTAAGGAAATCTTGCATTTTCATTAATTTTTTTTCAAATACAAATTTCACATGAGATTTAATTATTGTTAACTTCTGGATTATTGTGCCTTGATAGCCTTATTATCAACTGGATAAATAGCCAATAATACCTTGAATTTGTGTTTTAATTTGTTAAAAGACACAAGTGTCTGGTAGAGTAGACAGTAGGAACACATCACAAGACTAATATGATTCAGGCCTCCCAACTGCTGTAATTAACATGACCTCTAGATGTCCCCATGTCTTTAGTCTGAAACTTAAGATTCAAAGTCCAGAGAGGATCAGTACACTGATCTTCAGCATGCACTTCCTCCTTGAATAGTCCAGGGAACTAGAAGAGGGATGCATCCCCATTGGTTTCAGTAACGAGAGAAGTCAAACATTACACATATTGGTGCTGCTGCTACTGCTGCTAAGTCACTTCAGTCGTGTCCAACTCTGTGCGACCCCATCCCTGGGACTCTCCAGGCAAGAACACTGGAGTGGGTTGCCATTTCCTTCTCCAATGCATGAAAGTGAAAAGTGAAAGTTAAGTCACTCAGTCATGTCCGACTCTTTGTGACCCCATGGACTGTAGCCCACCAGGCTCCTCCATCCATGGGATTCTCCAGGCAAGAGTACTGGAGTGGGTGCCATTGCCTTCTCCGACACATATCGGTAGGACCCCCTCCAATAAAGCCAGCTAGCACACTAATAAGCATAGAGCTTATCAGTGACCAGAGGGACACATGACTACCATGTTATCTAAACTGGAATTCTCAGACAAAAGGATCCTATTTCTCTGAGAGGTGTAATATTCCAGTTAAGACCAGGTGCACTCTAGGGTCATAGATTTTTTTTGTTGTGACTGAGATTTACTAGATTTTCTTGCTTCCTCGATGGCTCAGCAGGTAAAGAATCCACCTGCAATGCAGGAGACACAGGAGACATGGGGAGACACAGAAGACGCAAGTTCAATCCCTGGGTTGGGAAGATCCCCTGCGGAAGGAAACGGCTACGCACTCCAGTATTCTTGCCTGAAAAATCCCACAGACAGAGGAGCCTGGCATGCTACAGTCCAATGTGTTGCAAACAGTTGAACACAATTGAGTGACTAAGCATGTACTCACACACTTGAGTAAAAGTTTCTGCATTTGTTGTATGTCTCCAGGACAATTTACATAGACTTTAAATACTTTTTTAAAGTAATTTTCAACAATTACAGGTGTGTTTCTGGGGCGGGGGGGAGGGTCCATGGAGCTCCTCATGCTATCACTCTGGAAGCCTTCCTTTAAGGACTTTTGTTTAATCTGATTTAGGTTTCCTTTGAGGTTTAAAAAGACTGAGTCTCAATATTTTAAGTATTCATATATTTCTTTAATAATTTATTCTTTAAAAGTTATTTTATGAGGAGTTTAAACAATCTAACCTCTAAGCACAGTTTTAATTCTTTTTCTCTAAATCTCAGGAGCTTTTCTTTTCTTTCTTAGATGGTGCAAGAAGAAGAAAAGAGACTGACCCCTCTGGTGAAGGAAAGCTTACACTAAGCTCACTTTTTGCTGATAATTTCTTCTACTAAAATTGAAACCAAGCATTTAGACCCTATCATCTCCTTTAGCTAGCTAATCCTCATAACATTATAGCCTCGTGTACAAGTCAGCATAATTGGTCATTTGGCTATGGTCCTACTTGGAGGAAAACTCTAGGATCAGAAAATCTCTTAGCCTTTCTTTCCAGAAAAAAAGAACATGGATGGGCTCTGAAATAAGAAGTAACTATGAGAGCCACAGGATAGCTGTCCTGAACACTCCCTCTAAACTATATTTGTTGACACATTCTAAGCAACAGTATCACAGTATTCAGGAAATGTAGTTGAGGTGTCCACGCTGTGATGCAGACAACCCCACCTCACTGTGTCTGATCTTGCCATGGCTGAGTTCATATTTACCTGAAACTAATCAACTTAGGACATACTATTTGAAACACATTCTGGGTAAATCTTTTTCTTTCCTTTGGCAAAATTTGTGATAGGAATTTTTTTGAAACTAGTTATTAAACTAGTATGGCAATTAACCATTGTGCACCCTGAAAGGAGATAGAAGATGTATGAGACCTAGCTCTGAGAAATGGAGTGTTTCCTGCCGTATCAGTAAACAAGGATTTCACACTCACCAGCCATTCCAGTCCTCCAAGTGTGAAGTCCTGAGCCCTAAGAGCATTCAGGAAGGAGAATAATACCTGTGCAAACTGGCAGCCATTAGACTGCAGCTACTCTCTACTTTGAGCACTGAGGAACTCAGGATGTGAAAAACACAGGATGCTGGCCCCAGATAGCTGAGATGCATATGAAAGAAATGGTTTCAGTGAACCCAAACTTTTGCTTATTCCCATATGAAGAAAAGTGCCAATTCCTTAACTTGGGATATCTGGTTTTCTTTAATTCACAAAATACTTCTGATGTTCAGGATACCTGCCCTTTGTTGCAAACTTCTATGCAACCTGATTCCTCCTCCCATCTCCTTAGGGTAGTTCTCTCCAGGTTACTTGAGATGCTATCTTTTAGGCTTGAAGCCCTAAAAATTCCCATCAAATAAAACATAACTCTCAACTCTTAGGTTGTGACTATATTTTAAGTCAACAGCCCATGCTTGAAATGTTTGCACTGTCACATAAAAGCAATTGGGTGTGATAAGTTGTATTCATGGCAAGCAATAACTATTCTGAAGATTTTCCTGATCAGGTATTGTCAGGGAACCCATTACAGAAAAGGAACTCTCAGAAAAGGATTCAGAACAAAAGAAAAAGGCAGAAAGAAAGATAGGAAGGAATAAAGGAAAGAAGAGAGGGAGGGAGGAAGGAAGAGAGGGAGAAAGAAAGAAAAAGAAAGGATAGAAAGAAAGAAAAAGGGGAGAGAGAGAGTGAAGAAGGGAAGAAGGGAGGGAGCGAGGGAGAAAGGAAATGTTTATTGCTCAGAGAAATAGAATCACAAATAGGGATTAAGGAATGAGAAGGGAATGGGTAATTCTCAGCAACAGGCTGTCCTGTCCCCAGACAAGCCTGGATGCCAATAATAGTGGGAACCACTTTACTCAAAATGCCATCACTCTAACGTGGTACATTTCTATTCTCAACTCATAACCAGAATTCACCTGCCTCTCCTGTTTGCCCGTCTCTCACTTACTGTCTTGTGTTAGATACCAAAGTGTCTATATTATCTCTAGTGTGAAAACGTTGAAGAACAAGATGGGACTCATATTCTGTTTGTATCCAGATATAGTAGGTGCTGATACCAAGCAAGGCCCTAAGGGGCTCCTGGGGACATAGCCTTTCTGTGTCCCCCATTTCTTTGATTACAGGAAATAGCCTTCATTCAGCTTCCCTGGCCTTCCCTGAGTTCCAATGTGCAGATTCAAACAATTGTTAATCAGGGAAGGGAAGGATGAGAGACAGGGAGAAGCAAACAGTCAAGAGAAACAATGGTGCGGCCCTGGGGCAAGGTCCTGACTCCCCACCAAAGTGTACACAAAACAATATCTTTGAGCTGTTTTGCAGATACTGAAACCCCCCAGGTGGGAGAAATTAATGAAGATCAATGATGGTATGCTGTCTGCAAGTGTGAAGACCCCAGACCAGTTGGAAGCTGAAGGTTGATGATGCTAACTCCCACTTACTCCACCACCAACCAATCAGAAGAATATTGACAAAATGATCACTCCCTCTCTGAACCATTAGCATAAAACTCACTATACTCTCCAAGTGGAGACACACAGTTATAAGGGCATTAGCCCACTGTGGCCCCCTTTGCCTGCCAAAACTAAAGAAAAGCCAAAACTAAGAAAATTATTTTCTACTTCATCCCAAACTTGTCTCTGAGATTTAATTCTGTGTTGGGGTACAGAGGCCAGATTTGGCTTCAGGTCTTAATAAATATCAAACTCATAAATACAATCAGAACCAGGAAAAGAGAAGGAGAACATTAACTTTCTGGAGTCCTGACCTGGAACTGACTGGACTTGTAAGTCTAGTTGGAGGACGAGACAGCTCCGCTGGCCTCAAGCAAGCTCCCTTTAGGGGATGAGCAAAGCTAGATGCTAATCTCCTCCATTGAAAAGGCCAATTCTGGTGGTGTCAATCCCCAGTACCATCCCACATGTTATGAAATTTCATTGTGCTGAAAATGATGGGACCTAGAGACTCCTGTGGGCAATTATGAGGAGTGGCTCAGGGAGATGGAGAGGTAACAGGGAAGCCTAGCTCATCCAGGGCAGAGCCCCAGAAAGACTCTTTAGCCCTTACAGAGGGGCAGT